CAATGAGGCCTTCCCTAGTCACCCTATTACAAATTACAATACCCTTCTTCCCACTGTACTTCCTATCCTTCTTTCCTATTTTTCACTACAAACTTTACCACTATTTGACAATATACATTTTACTTTATTGTGCCTTTCCCAGCAAAACATAAGCTCCCCAACAGGAAGAATTTTGTCTACTTTGTTCATTATTCTATCTCCAGTACCTATGTTAGCTGGCATATGGTAGGCACCCCATAAGTATTTTTTTAAGTCCCAAACCTTTATTATCAGCTTTCAACTCTTGAGCAGGAGACTCATATTTCCAACTGATTACCAGGCATCTCTCTCCCTTTTTTTTTTGTTAATCCTCACACGAAGGTATTTTTTCCATTGCTTTTCAGAGAGTGGAAGGGAGGGAGGGAGGAAGGGAGAGGGAGAGAAAGAGAGAAAGATCAATGTGAGAGAGACACATCGACTGGTTGCCTACCACACACGCACCCGACTGGCAGCAGGGAGCAAACCCAAAACCCAGGTACATGCCCTTGACCCGGAATCGAAGGCTGACATTCTAAACACTTAGAAGCTTCAGCCAGAGCATGTATTTTTTTCTTCTTTATTTTGTTTTGTTATGATTACCAAACATCTCCAAATGCATGTCTCAAAGACACTTAAGCCCAAAAGTGAACTTATCTTCTCTATTGCACAAAACTGGCTTCTTCTCTTCTTCCCAAACTAGACTAAAGCTATCACTACTCAAATCTTGGAGTCATCTTTCATTCCTCCCACATCTAACTGATCTATAAATACTTACAATTTTATATCCCAAATTTCTTTAAATTTGTTCCTTTCCAAGTAGCCACTACCTTATTTCAGGTCTTACTATATTCACTTAACAAATAGTTACTGGGTACCCCCTGCATGTAAACCATTAGTTTAGGTATAGGGAAATAGTCATAAGCAAAACGGATAGAGTTTTTGTCCACATGAAGCTTACAACCTAGTAAGGAAACAAGGCAATCAATGATCATATACATAATACTTAACTGATTAACTTTTTAAAAAAGTACAGAGTCCTATGAAGGCATTTAAAAAGTAGTCTGTCAATGTGTGGGTAGAGAGAACCTATCCTACACCTAAGGGTTCCTTGGATAAATGATGTTTGACTACTGAAGGGCAACTAGCAGTTAATTAAATGAAGATGTGGGGAACAGGGGGTGGCAGCAGCACTACAGCGAAAAGCATGTGTAAAGATTCTGGGTTCTGAGGTAAGGAGAGGTAGTGGTGCACAGCGATTAAGAACATAAATTTTGGAGATAAACTGCCTGGATTTGATCCACCATTCATTAGCTGTGTAACCTGGGGCAAGTTATTCAGTTAATTTCTCTGAGCTTCCATGTTTTCCTGATTTTAAAATGGGGATAGCCCTGGCAGGTGTGGCTCAGTTGGTTGAGCGTTGTCCCACACACCCTCACCAAGAGGTTGCTGGTTCGATTCCTGATCAGGGCACGTGCCAGAGTTGTAGGCTTGATCCCCAGTGAGGAGGCCTGCAGGAGACAGCCGTGGATGTTTCTCTCTCTCTTTTCCTCACCCTTTCTCTCTCTCTCAAATCAATAAAAACATTTTTTTTAAATGGGGATAACAGAGGCATTTCCTTTCCAGAGTTACTGTGCAAATTAAATCAGTTAATGTATGTAAACAGCTTTGACCAGTGATGGCCACATAGTAAATGCTATTGTTAAATGTTAGCACTTAATGAACACGTTCATTCTGAGGAATGAAATAAAATAAAGCCACTGTGGTTGGAGTGTGAGAAACTAAGCTGGATAAATTGGCAGGTATAAAGGTAAAAGGTTTTAGCAGGGGAGTGAATAATATAATAAAAATGTAACGTGAAATTTCTCCCTCTCAGATCTCATCCTCCACACTGCCAAAAGAACACACATGGATCACATCAGCTCCTTCTTTAAAAATTTCCAAAGACTCCCCACTTTCTGCCTACATGACAAAAACCAACTGCCATACGCAACTTAAAAGGCCCTTTTCATTATCACTTCAATCTACCACTGTAGTCACACAATTCATCTAGTTCCCTTTACAATCTTAAGCCACTAACATATATGCACTTTATGCTTCAAAATTACATCTGACTTTTTCAACACTCTTGCACTTGTAGAACCTTCTCATTCTCTCCTCTACAGTAGTCTCTTTTCTCACCATTGATTGGAAATTTGGTACTATTACAGTTCAAAGCATTTTCACCCACAATTCAGTCTCTATAACTGAATTTAGATGGCATTTCTACAAAATCTTTAGAATTCTGCAGGTGATGTGGACTTACCTACCAATCCAGATATTCTTCCTTCCTATATTAAAGCTTGCTCCTTTCCTCTGAGGGCCCCATCTAAATTTCTTTATAAAAATGGAAAGACTAAGAAAAAAGATATAACCCTAAGTCCGTAGTTGGCAAACTGCGGCTTGCGAGCCACATGCGGCTCTTTGGCCCCTTGAGTGTGGCTCTTCCTAAGCCTTAGGAGTACCCTAATTAAGTTAATAACAGTGTACCTACCTATATAGTTTAAGTTTAAAAAATTTGGCTCTCAAAAGAAATTTCAACTGTTGTACTGTTGATATTTGGCTCTGTTGACTAATGAGTTTGCCGACCACTGCCCTAAGTCAACCCAAGTCAGGATTACTCCATCAAGATCAACAGTGGAACCAAACATTAACTGTCCTAGAAGTCAGAATTAAAGGCATGGGTTCTTAACCAGAGGTCCATGGACTCCTCAGGGCTACATGGTAATTTTATGAAGCCCCTCAAATCGCATGCAAAGTATGTGTACATGCCTTTTTCTGGGGAGAGGGTCCATACCTTTCATCAGAGTTTCAAAGATATCTGTGACCTCCAAAAGGTTAAGAAGTGCTCTAGAGAAAAAGCAAAGACAAGCAAATGTGATTAAAAGAGTGAATCCTTTTTACTTTTTAGGCTGTCAGGGGTGCCTCATGATCTCTTAATACCTGAAATCAGGTCAGAGGACATTATCCAATCAAAATAAAAGTTAATATGGTCCAAACAAATACTGCTTCTATGGAAGGAGGAACTCCATACACAAAACCAAATCCATGAAGGCAAGTCACAAGGCTGGTGCCTTACTCCAGGGGTTTCAAAATGGCACTAATAAGAAGAAAATATTTTACCTTTTATTCATATTTTCTTTTATCTCATTTATTGAAACATTCCTTTTCTGTGTGTTTTATAACATACATAACAGTATGGTACCATAATTTACGTAAGTGTACATATAATGGAAGTGGTTGCTCAATTTGTCTTACTTGTGGGAATATGAAACCACAGCTATAATCTACACACTTCAGTACCAAGTTAATAGTAACTCCAGAATAACACAAAGACCCACTAGTACAGTTCAGAATCCAAGAGTAAGAAATCTATCAGCTTTCACACAAAAAGCTAATCAATGTCAACTAAAAAGTGACTAAAAGGACCTCTCCCTACCCTTACTCTCCTTACTTTTGTTTGTTTATTAGCTAAACAAGCTTTAAAGGATTAGTTTTCAGCTAAGTCAGTCTGGTTTGTCCAAGATTCCCAGGATGATGTGACCAAAACATTTAATGGAAAAACTACTTGCGAAACCACAAACGGTCAACTAATCAAGATATTCTCATAATTTACCCAAAAAGAAATTACTCTTTTCTTCCAGGAAAATAAATGCGAGAAGACTACCAAGATTGCCAAGGCACATCTTAGAACAGGTGATTGAGAGTGTCACCAAGTGGTGATACCAAGAGATGCGGGGTCCATCCGCGACATGAAATGGGACAGAGATAGCCCTAACCTTGAAAATGTTTTTCCAAAACATTACAGCTACAAGCGAGTTGTCTGTCTGGCAGTAGGTAGGGAGCGGGGAGGGGGGTTGCTGGCCGGGGGAGAACCACGTGAGAGAAACTTTTAAATCCGAGCTACCTGTGCCTTTTCTAACTCTAAAGATCTCCTAAACCCCAGGTTTCTATGGGGAGACCAGTATTCTAAGCCCCTCCTCATGTTTCAAAGCCGCTGCCCCCCCCCCGGGGGGCGTAACCCCATCTAAAAAAAAAAGTGGATTTTTCTGGATCACGTTTGAGACCTAAATAGGTAGAAATACATAAAGATGCCAACATATCCTAACGGGAATCAGCTTGGGACAATGGAGAGGAAAGCATCAACCCAGGGAAGAAAAAGGGGTGCACGGTGCGGCATGGGGCAGAGAGGTGGGACCACTGACGTAATGCAGCTCTGACGAGAAATGAGGAGAGAACTGGTTGTAGGCACTTACACAACCCGGTGGAGAAATGACGGACGATACAACAATGAAGAAGAGAGCCGAAAAAACAATACAGATACAGTAAAACCGTGAGGAGCATGGGAAATTAGGACAGGCGTAGTGAGGAAGAACTACGGAGGGAGCCGGTAAAAAGTGGAAAAGCCTACAAGAAGAACACTTCGGAAAGTGCACAAGCCACTCCCAGAATTCAGTCCCCAGAAAAAGTCTAAGTCAGCCCCTGCCCTCCTTCACAGTACCTTCAGTTTATGCAGCTCCACCGTCTCTGCCGCCATCTTGTTACCCCTCCACTCCACTAGGCCCCCACTCGCAGCCTCCGCTTCCAGCAGCTCCCGCCCAGGCGCAGGGTCAACCAATCACTGCCACTCTTACTATCACCTCACACCATCAACTCTTCCCATTAGTCAATAGCTGCCGTCCTCTCACTCCTCCAGCCAGCTTTCCCCACCTCTCAAAAGGTGGGGCTGGGAGAGGGGCGGGTTCTGCGCCTTCCAAACGACGGAAACGGCGACCAATTGGGCGTCTTCATTGCAGACCCCCAGCCAATGGATGGCGGCAGCGCTAACCCTGTTCCACCAATAGGGAGACAGCAGAGAAGCGTGGGCGGCTGCTTCCTGGAGACCACAGGTATAGAAGGGAGAGCTGCGCCCCTCGCCGATCAGCTTCTGAAGCTTGCAGGTAGGGGTTTACGGGAGACTGGAAAGGGGTGCTCGGCAAAAATGGTTGGAGGCAAACCGTGATGGGAGGCGAAAGCGGCGGCGGGGGTTGGAGCGGCGGTGAGTTAAATACCGAGAGAGAACCAGAGGGGAGCCGACGTACGAGAGATGGAAGCTGGGAAAAGCATCGGGCAGGTTCAGTATTAGGGTTTAGGGAATTTTAGGTAGAGAGGGGCGGGCAAGAGCTGCTTCCTAACTGGACATCAACTTTAGCACGATTTTAAGGAGCCAAGTTCAGACGATCTGAGCCGCCTTTGGATTTGAGGTTAGGGCTCCAACTGGAGGCGCTCAACTTAGGTTCCTTCCTAGCTCAACCGAAAACCCGGGGTAAATTCTCCCAATGCCCCACGCTTGAGAGGAGGAATTGGGATGTTGGCTGCTTACATGCCACGGGGATGAGAGGACGGGCAAGCCCCAGAGTAAAGGTGAGGATTAGAAGTAGCTTTACCCCCTCGTGCCTCCTTAGTGAATCCTTGTTTCCCATTACCTGCTTCTGGAATTATGGGTGTATGTAACCTCTTCAGGCTTCCTTATTAACAACTTAAGGAAAATAAAGTGAAATACTTCTGTTTCCCTTGCTCCTTGAAGTAGGTGCCCAAGCCTAGATTTACTCCTTCAAGCTGAAGTGTAAGAATCAAAGATTACCATGTGTCTCTAAGATGTAGAGAGGACTCTTCTTGCCTTTTAAGTATTTTACTTCCCAAGTCTTCAGTTTTTCTTTGTGCATGATGGGGATGTTCTTTCATTCCCAATACAGTTCAGGGGATTTGTGCTATGCAGGAGACAATGTGGGGGCAAAAAAAATCAAAGAGGGGTTGAGAGGAAATAGAGGTGGACTCCTGCCTGATCCGCCACTGTGGTAGGATGAATGTGGGAGTAGCACACAGCGAAGTAAACCCCAACACTCGAGTGATGAATAGCCGGGGCATCTGGCTGGCCTACATCATCTTGGTAGGACTCCTGCATGTGGTGCTACTCAGCATCCCCTTCTTCAGCATTCCTGTTGTCTGGACCCTGACCAACGTCATCCATAACTTGGTGAGCGCTAAACCACACCCTATACCCACCCCAGGCCTTTCCCAAACAAAATAAAATCCCCAATTATTTGGAGATATGCCTTCCTTTGGGGATCTTAATCTTTGGGCTAAAGGACCATATGCTGCCCCTTCAAACTGCTCCCTTTTCTCCTCCCAGGCCATGTATGTCTTCCTACATACGGTGAAAGGGACACCCTTTGAGACCCCTGACCAAGGAAAGGCTCGGCTACTGACACACTGGGAACAGATGGACTACGGGCTCCAATTTACCTCTTCCCGCAAATTCCTCAGCATCTCTCCTATTGTACTGTGAGTCCAGTGGGAGATATGGGAAATGCTCCAAATGCCAGGTACAGAGGCCCACAGAGGAACTTAAAAAAAGTAGACTAATCACTTAGACCCTTTAAAGATATTATGGTATACTATGTCTAAATCTAGGGAGTGCAGTAAAAAGTAGAAAGCAATAATCAAGCATTCCTTGCTGCCTCCTTGGTGATAGGAGAACGGAGATGGGGCTGAGAAAACCAAGTAAAACCAAATGATTTTACATTTCCAAAAGATGTGAATAAATTAAGGCAGAACTGATGTAAATCTGTGAAAACTGGCTTTGGGGAGTGGAAGCAGAGAGGACTTAACAGTGATACAGGCTGAAACTGCTTCAGCTGTCATTTGCCACATGTCATTAACAATTATTAAACACACAAATTAACTTATAAATCTCCAGTTAAAGGTGCTGATTATCTTCCTGACCCCTAGGATATTTTCAAATATCCTAGGACTACATGCAATAAAACTGATCATTTAAAATAGAAGAGAGAGTCACTGGAAAGGCCAGCTTCACTCAACTTATTTCTTTTCTTCCCAGCTACCTCCTAGCCAGCTTCTACACCAAGTATGATGCTGCTCACTTCCTCATCAACACAACCTCATTGCTCAGCGTACTGCTGCCTAAATTGCCCCAATTCCATGGGGTTCGTCTCTTTGGCATCAATAAATACTGAGGGATGGGACTGGGGACAACATTGGAACAAAAGGCTGTAACATCTTTCCCTTCTCCATACTGTCTTCCTTTTCTTGGAAGCCTGAGAACTATACAACTGTTCCAAAACTCCCAGAATGAGAACTGATTGGAAAATGGGGCTCCCTGGGAGTAGCCCTGCTAGGAGCAGGCTTCTTTGAATCGGGAAAGGCAGATGAGGTAAGGGACAAATCACTCTCCTCCACAGGAGGCCATGTTTGGGCAGCTTGTTTGGTTTTCCCATGTCTTCCACCCCCACTACCTCCAGCTCTGTTTTGCTGTGTATTTCCCTCATAATAAAGGTCATTTTTTTTTCAGATATGGCTACTCTTTGGTCAGCAGGGAGGGTAGGGAGATGTCCTCATAAGGCTGGGGAAGAAAGATGGAACAGTGACTTAATACACAAAACTTTTCTAAGGTACTTTTTATCCCCTCTCCTTTGGTTCAGGAGGTGCCCTTCACTCCCAGCTAACACTTCGAGAAAGGATTCTCAAATGAGAAAAAGGACACTATCTATAAAGGCAAAGAACAGAGGGAAGAAACAGGTTGCCAGTTACATATTTATAGAAAGATAATCCCCTGGCTTTAAATAGTTATGTACATACAAATATCAACAAACTTAAAAAAATACAAACCCTTGGATCATAAGGGGCCTGCCAGGAACCCCTTTATTCTTTCCCCTCACCCAAGGGCAGAGGGCATGAGTCTGATTTTTTTAAAATTATTAGTTTGGCCATCCCTGCAGCAACAAGCATGAAGTTGGGAAGTTACCCACAAGGTGACAGAAAAAATTCAGAGTTCCCACTCTCTGAACTCTATCTCCTATAATTAGAGTTACATGCTTTCTTGTTCTGTCTTTTAACTAGTATTGGGCTAACTAGTATATTCAGGAGGGAGCCCTGAACTGGGTCAAGAAATAAGACAGACTCATAGTTTAAAAAGAGGAGGGAAAGTCATCTGCTGTAGAAGCAAAAGACAAGACAAAGGCATACAGACCCTAGGGAAATACCCAGTTCCCACACTCCTCTGGGAGATATTGTCCAGCCCAGGTCCATGCCCTAGGTTCTTTGCTGTAGCCACCCCCTATTTCTTTGGTATTGTCAGAAGACCAGATTCAGTTCCTGGGTACCGGTGGAGGAGGGAGAGTGGTTCTGGGGCTTCCTACAAGTACTGAGTGAACAATTTGAGCTTAAAAGTTTCCCTTTTTAAAATATTTAAAAATAAATCAAACTCCATCCTATGCTGTACACAGCCCTTTTGACTCCCTGACATTGATTTGAAGTTCGGCAAAAATGGTGTACAAGAAGAAAACAAGTGTCAACGTTGGAAGGGCCTCCTCACTTTCTTCCGCCTCTTCGGTTTGGCTTCTCCCTTGGGTACTGTGCTGTTGGGCTTGGAAGCTCCGGGGGCCCCAGGACCAGGGTGAGCTGCAAAGAAGTTCCCATTGGACATCTGTCCCGGGGGTACTTGAAAGATCCGGTTCAAGAAATCCTGAAGGTCAGCAGGAGGAGCATCTGGAGTGGCTCTGAAAGGAAAACAGAAGAATAATGAGGCAAAAGAGATTCAAAGTCAAACATAGGTAACTATGTTAAAGATATATTGAGTCAGTTACCAAACTTCTTAAAGGGTGAGGCATCTAGGTGTCCTAAGCACCATATTCAGAACTAGAATAGTGGATAGATTATTGAAAGAAATACCACCTACCTCTGTCGCCCACTGGTGCCTGGTATCCGAGAACCAAATGAGATGTGATAGGGGACTCTATGAGTATCTGGGGAGATTCCTACTCGCTGACATCCAGCCCACTCTGCACACATGAGAAAGAATTAGCTAATACATCATATAAGCATATATGAGCCTGTATTTCTACAGAACAGAAGTGTACCTGTGATGTCATACACCTTTCCATCCATCAGTGCAAAGTAGGTGATCTTGAGGCCCAACATACTTGACTCTGCCCAAAAGTCTCCTTCTTCAGCAGGATGCAGCCTATTACACTCAGCACAGTATCTGGCACTCTTAGGTTCCCGGTCCATTTCAAACCTCCTGCAAGCCAACAGAAGGGCAATTCCTTACTAATTTGTCAAGCCTGTGACATTTCTGTAGTCTCATTATTATGTGTTATTACATATACCTATGCACACCCTTCTCTCAATCTTCTATCTTAAAGGTAAAAAATGTCTTTTTTTTAAAAAATATACTTTTATTGATTTCAGAGAGGAAGGGAGAGGGAGAGAGAGATAGAAACATCACTGATGAGAAAGAATCATTAATTGGCTGCCTCCTGCACGCCCCATACAGGATCAAGCCCGAAACCCAGGCATGTGCCCTGACCAGGAATCGAACCATGACCTCCTGGTTCACAGGTCAATGCTCAAGCACTGAGCCACACCCACTGGACTTCTTTTTTTTCTTACTAATTAGAATCCCCAATCTCTTTACAATATGACAGAAGTGGAAACCCAAGAGTTCTTTTACTCACCATTTCTATCCCACAACTACCAATAATACAAAGAAGGTCTTTGGCTACCTAACCCCTAAGCCAGTGATGGCGAACCTATGACACGCGTCTCAGAGGTGACACGCGAACTCATTTTTTTGGTTGATTTTTCTTTGTTAAATGGCATTTAAATATATAAAATAAATATCAAAAATATAAATCTTTGTTTTACTATGGTTGCAAATACCAAAAAATTTCTATATGTGACATGGCACCAGAGTTAAGTTAGGGTTTTTCAAAATGCTGACATGCCGAGCTCAAAAGGTTCGCCATCACTGCCCTAAGCTGTGGCTGTTACATTCCTATTTCATACCTGTGCTTTCCCTGGCATCGACTGCACATCATAGTATTCATAGCCTCTTTGAGGTCATCCTGCAGCTTGGACAGAAACTCATTCACTGACCGGCTCAGCTCATTCTCTGCCATTCGTTTCCTAAGAGAAGAAAGGCTTTATAAATCAGAGGGTATTGAACAAGGAATAAAAGGAGACAGATCTGCTGGCCTCTTAAAGGCCTTTTGCCTACTAGAAAGACAAGCAATTTTCTCCACCTTAGAGGGCATTCACCCGCAACTCTAGGAACCTCTGCTATTGAAGATTATTCATTTACGCCACCTGACAATTTCCTATCTCCAACTTACATCTCATATTCCTTCCGCCTTTCAGGATTGCTGACAATGTCCCAAGCTGCCCGCAAAACCTTGAAGGCCTCCTCAGCCCGGGGATGATGATTTTTGTCAGGATGAACCTACCAAAACAAAGAAAGAATTCAATCACAAATCCATTCCAAACTTCTCCCCATCTTGGGTCAAAACCTTATGTTAAGTGATAGCCCTGGCCAGTGTGGTTGGGTTTCATCCCATGCACCAAAAGGTTGCTGATTCAATTCCTGGTCAAGGGCACATACCAGGGTTGTGGGCTCAGTACCCAGTAGGCAGCATGCAGGAGGCAGCTGATCAATGTTAGCTGTCACATTGATGTTTCTTGCTCTCTTTCTCCTCTCCTCTCTAAAAAAGGCAATAAACTATTAAAACACACACACACAAATCATGTCAAATGATTCTTTTTCACTCCCTTTTAGAGAGTCAATATAGCTTTTTTAAAAAAAAAAAAAAGTTAAATTCTTTATTGTTTAATATATTACATGTCTCCCTTTTCCCCCATTGACCTCTCCCCAGCCGCTCCCACCCCCCAGCACATAACCTCACCCTGCTACGTCTGTGTCCATTGATTATGCTTATATGCATGCATATAAGTCCTTTGGTTGATCTCTTACCCATCCTCCCCTACCTTCCCTCTGAGGTTTGACAGTCTGTTCGATGCTTCTGTGACTCTGCATCTATTTTTGTTCATCAGTTTATGTTGTTCATTATATTCCACAAATGAGTGAGATCATGTGATATTTATCTTTCTCCGACTGGCTTATTTTGCTTAGCATAATGCTCTCTAGGTCCATTCATCCTGTTGCAAATGGTTAAGAGTTCTTTCTTTTTTACAGCAGTGTGATAATTCCATTGTGTAGATGTACCACGGTTTTTTAGTCCACTCATCTGCTGATGGGCACTTAGGCTGTTTCCAAATCTTAGCTATTGTAAATTGTGCTGCTATGAACATAGGGGTGCATATATCCTGATTGGTGTTTCTGATTTCTTGGGATAATATTCCTAGGAGTGGGATTACTGGACCAAAAGGGAGTTCCATTTTTAATTTTTTGAGGAAAATCCACACTGTTTTCCACAGTGGCTGCACCAGTCTGCATTCCCACCAGCAGTGCGCAGGGGTTCCTTTTTCTCTACATCCTCGCCAGCACTTGTTCGCTGATTTGTTGAGGATAGCTATTCTGACAGGTGTGAGATGGTACCTCATTGTCGTTTTGACTTGCATCTCTCAGATGATGACTTTGAGCATGTTTTCATATGTCTCTTGGCCTTCTGTACGTGCACTTTAGAAAAATGTCTATTTAGGACAAGCATGTCAAACTCAAAGGCTAACACGGGCCAAATAAACAAGGTTTAAGTTTATGTGGGCCGCAAAAAAACAACCAGAAGCTTCAATTTTCATAGGAACATGCTGAATACAAAGGGCTGAAATAAATGGGTAATCGTTAACATAAAAATAGAACATTTTAATAAAAATTAATATTTTTTCTTGAACATTAATTTACCAGACATTGAATAACTGCACAAATTAATAAGTGTAACACAACCAAACCTATTTTTCTTGTTCTCTGAAAGCAAAATATTTCCTGTTGCGCACACCAAACAAGTCAGTACAAGACTAATGATGTGGCAATTGGCTGCTAAAATATTCACTGCTAATATTAGTGGAGAGAAATGGTGTGCCTGTGTGTAAGGGAAATGAATGCAACACGATTATAATAATCAGTCATTAGCAAACATTGTAGTTCGTTATTAATAATTATGTATAATGGGATATTGTAAAAATTAAGTCACAAAATTTATATTAAAATGTTTCTTACATACCGTTATATTGGCTGGGCCGCATGCAGCCTGTGGGCTGCAGGTTTGACAGGCTTGATTTAGGATCTTTGCCCTTTCTTTTATTGGATTATCTTCCTTTTATTAAGTTGTATGAGTTCCTTATAATTTTTAGAGATTAAAACCTTGGGGAAACCAAGATGGCGGCATAGGTAAACACCGGAGTTTGCTGCCTCGAACAACCACTTCAAAAATACAACTAAAAGACGGAACGGACATCACCCAGAACCACAGGAAGGCTGGCTGAGGAGAGACTCTACAACTAGAAGGAAAAACAACAGCATTACGAGGATTAGAGAAGGCGCAGTGTGGAAAATTTAA